GCCACTGTTATGCAATTGGCATCCAAAGTCTTATCTCTTTCCCAAGAAATTGATGATTGTAAGTTCTTTGAGATAACAGAAAAGTGTTGTGGTTCTAATTTTTTTTTAATAAATTTAAATTATATGTATATTAATTGAAGGAAGGGTTAAGAGGTTTTGTAGGATTTAAACACGTGATCTATAAAAAATAAATGATCATAACTTAAAGTTTATATCATTGGATCGTTGAATCAGAGTGGACTATTTATGACCGTAACTATTTATATAATGTATTATCACTAAAAATTATATGAGTCTCCATATAATTCAAATGAATAGTCACTTTTAAAATTATATTAATGTTTAGTAACTACTTTTCAAAAGAGATGTACATTTATATACTTAAAATATTTTAAACATTAATTAAAATTAATATATTATAATTAATTTACAATTTAGTATTGTGGCGAAAAGTGATGTGGAACCAATACCATATAGAACCATAATATTAATGGAGAGTCACAAGCTAATATTTTGAGAATTTGGTTATGATCCAGAGTCACCTAATTAGTGAATAATTATTACAAAATTATTAAAAAAAAAAGTTGATTGCTAATTATTTGAGTAATTTCTAGCTCAAATTAGGGAACTCAAAAGGATTTGATTTTGGGTAATTTTATAAGTTTAATATCACGTTATATTGTATATTAAAAAAATAAAGTACAATTTATCTTGATACTAGAAGTTTACTTCTCCTTTAATTGTTAAAAGTAATGTAGTTTACGACAAGATAAACTATACTACAATATTTTCATTGTATATTTTATGAGCAAAATATTGTTTTACAGTCCAACAGTAGTGAATTATAAATCACTAATCATTAAATTAGGAGGAACTTTGATGGTAGAAGAGGATTTTTTATCTAATAATTAATATTTTATAATTTAATATAATTTAAATTATAAAACGTTGCCTCTCTTATAAATGATTTTATACATTAATGTCGTTGGTACTTCTAATGAAAAGGGTTAATTGAAAAATATAAAAACTCATATTGTAAATAAATTTGTATTAAAATATAAACTTAGTGTATATTAATTCTAAATTTTTTAAAAATGGTTTAAGTCTTAATTTACATTTAAAAACTAAAATTTCAATTTAAAATTTAAAAATTTATCATATTAAATATTAATATATAAATTTAAAAATTGATTATATTAAAATATCTAATCAATTTTCAAACACAGATATTAACATTCATTAATGGAATAAAATTTTAAATTTTAAATTATATTTTCATTAAATA